AATGGAAAATGTATTGTGTTAATGACATATGAAACAGTTCAACAGCAATATAGTGTGTCTGTCATCTAAACTACAGTAGTGTCTCTCAACCTTTTTGACATTGAGGCCCCCCTTGTTCCAACACTTCTTTCAAAGGGCCTTTCATATTTCCTCCAGTATTTCTGCTATAATTATGCTGGATAATCCTATTATGACAAAGCTGCTTGTTTTTTTGTGTTAAATTAGTATTATTATAAAAACAAAACAAAAAAAACCTGGGAAATGAACAGACGTCATAGACAATAAAAGAAATAGGATGTATAGATTATTTTAATTAATTAATAACAATATGAAAATGAATTGAATTAATAATATACTTATCTTTAAATCATCCTGCGGCCGTCTAGTTGAGGGCCGCTGCTCTATACTGTTTTGGTGAATCGGTGGCCCTTCAGTTTCCGAAAACTGACTGACATCCTAGTCTAAGCTGTCCTGTCACATCTATTGTCTGTGGTCTCAGTCAGGAGGTTTTTGCAGACAAGCAAAGTCCTGAATTCACTAGCATTGCAGTGTGGGTGGATTCCAGATAACAGAGCCTAACCGAGTGATCTGGATCTGTTATTGGACTGGACTTGTTGTCAGATTGAACATCACTCTAATCATTTCTGTAGGGAGGCTGAACAGTGCTAGACGTGAATGATAGCCATATAGACACTTTAGTTCTCTGCACTTAAAATATGACAGACAGTGCTGTGACACCTCAAACAATGCAACGGTTAACCCATGAGTGATAGAAGTGCTTACCTGGAAGGATGTTTTTCTGGTGTAGATCAGGGGTCTTCAGCCTTTATCAGGCTTTTTCAGGACCCCCTAGGTCAGGGGTCGGGAAGTAAGTTTGGCAGTGGGCCAAAAAAAATGTACGCCACTAGATGGCGGGCCAGAACATGGTTAAAGGATCATTTAAGAAATGAATTGATGAAAAATGCAACTAGAATTGCCTGTGACAGACTGTTACAGTGTCTTTTGTAACTGGTTGGGAGCTGTTACTCTGTGTTAAATCCTGTAGTAGGACAGTCATTAAAAAAAAGCCACATTTGTGTGGCGGTGTCCGGGTTTTACATTGGATAAATTAATAAAGCAGAGTAGTGACACGTAACCTGGCAAGTATCTTCATTCACCAACTTGCAACACAGACTGCCTTGCTAAAACACACATATGTGGGAGATGCGGAATGGATAAAAATAACAAAAAAAATAAGAGGACTTGAATAAGCCCATTAATGGTATGTTTGAGTCATGCTCTTAACGAACTAGGTTTTATTTCCTCTTTCCATATTGTGAATAATAAATGTGTATGATTTTAATTTGCTTGTTACACAATGGAGCCTAGCTTATTGTAATAGTTATTTGACGTAGCCTACTTTTACGTTTCAATGGTTCACTGTTAGTTTTTTCATACCACTCATTTCATGACGGCCATTTTAGAGGTGTGTCTATAGCAATCCACAGATTCTTTTGAATGTCTTTCAGAACTAAATTAAAAGCTCTCAATTCATTTCAAAATAAAACA